ATTCAAAATCAGCCAAGACAATTAGTTTTATGAGATTTTCAAAACTACCATTTTTACTAAGACGGAATTAAATAATATATAGTTATTGGATCCAATAAATACTGTATATTTGGGTGATCAATTTTTGATAAAAAAAAAAATTAGAACGTATCTAATTGTAAGATGAGTGTCATCAACTAATGACTGTGAATCTGAAGATAATTCTGAGTTGTTATTATTAAGTATATAGTTACATTTAGATGAGTCCTAATGCTAATTTTAAATCAGATTTTATTACTATAACAATTGTTTTAAAATGATTCTGCATTACGTTATGATTGACGGCCCATATGACAAGTTTTTGATGATTTTATACATAAACGAAGAATTAGCTCAGAAAGCTTATTGAAATTGAGCAGTTTATTTGTAAGTTTATCATTAGGACGAAATGACAATTCTGTTGATAATATTGGAATAATTGTATCCGCAGATTACTAATTCATTTTTATCTTTTGCAATACTACAATCTATTGTACCATTGATTTGCTAAGTGGACGTAGCAATCAGGAGTTTCTTTAACAAATTCAGAACGTAATCAACTACATATTGAATAGCTAATGCTTCATTATATTCAATATCGTAATAAGATAGTCTTCCTGTAGATATTTCAGTCACAATAAAACTAAACTATAAATATCTACTACTATTGTATATGATTGTTGTGCAACACTTCTAAAGTAACGTAAGTTAAAATGCCGTAAATAATGTTTTCTAGATTAGATTAAGCTTCAATAAATAACTTACAGTAGATAAAAACTGAGTATAAATAAGTTCAATTATCACATCATTTTGAAATAAAATTCAATTAAAAATAGTTCAAATACTGTTCAAGGTGTAAAAACCTCTTCAATAAAATGTTTTATAATTTCTTTTCCCTTTTCTCCATAATTCTTATTTCTTACAATAATAGCTGCATGAGAATTTAAAGAATTGATAGATACAACAAATTTTTCCCATCCCAACATATTTAAATATGTGAAACATATATTTTGAGCTCCACATATTGAAACTTGTGGAAAAAGCGATGATGTAGAAAAGTCTGCCATCGTAATAGCATGTGTATTATCATCAACTGTTTCATTAGAAATACTTTGACTTGTCGGTGATGAAGGTAAACTATGAGTAAGAAAATTTTGAATATTAATTACCGTTTCTGCTGAATCACCCTCAATATTAGATACAATAATATTAGATCTTGTGAGATTTGATGTTATATTCCAATTAGAATCTTTTACTTCTCTTGCTGCCAAAATCTTTGCTACTCTTCTTCTTGATTTTATATTTTGAATTGTTAGAGTACTTAACACTATTATTATCCATAAGGGTAATAAAATACTTATTACAAAGTAAAATAAAGTACTTTTTGCTATGTCAATTGTTTTTGGTATTAAAGAAATTTTGACAGGAATAGCATCTTGTTTTGATATTGACTTTATGAGGGTTTCAAATTTATTATCTTTCTCACTAAAAAAAAAA